AACTTTTATTTAACTTTTATTTAACCTTTATTTAACTTTTATTTAACCTTTATTTAACCTTTTTTTTAACCTTTATTTAACCTTTATTCAACTTTTATTTAACCAGGCAAATCCCACTGACTTCACAGATCTCTTTTGCAAATCAGGCCTGGACCTGAAGGCAGCCTAACATGCATGTTTGTGGTCTGTGAGAGGAAACCGGAGTACCCGGAGAAAATCCACGCATGCACGAGAAAAACATGCAAACTCCACACAGAAAGACCCCATGTCCAACCGGGGATTGAACCCAGGACCTTCTTGCTGTGAGGCAACAGTGCTAACCACTGAGCCGTGGTGCTGCCAAACATAAGTATTATTAGTACTATTAAGTAGCAGGTGAACTTCCTATCCTTTCAGTTGTTGGATGGTTGTTCAAAGTTCAGCATGAAGATTGGAGCAACTTTAACAAGAACCAAACTGTGAAGGTTAGACAGCTGGGTCAAAACATCTCCACACCTGCAGCTCTGTGGGATGATCCTGTTCTGCAGAAGTCAGAACCAACACTGATCCAAGGAGGGAGAACCAGAGAACTAGAGAAAGGTGTCATGGAGGACCAAGGAATATTGAATTGTTGAAAGGAAATAACATCTAACCAATGATGTCCAAATTGTCCAGGTCTCTTTCAGCAGGATGATGCTCCCAGTGAGGCTTCAGAAAGGATCTTGGTCCAACCCAGTATCTCTGTGATGTTTTGAATCAACAAGTTCAATCTATAATGCCCCACCTCACAACTTCCAGGACTTCAAGAGTTTGCTGCTGACGGGTCAGAGCCAGAAACCATGACAGACCTTCAGAGATCCACATGAAACCTTCAGGGAGCCACAGAAGACACAAGGGGTTCACAATACACTTGAGATGTCCACAGGAAACATTCAGAGGTCCACAAAAGACCTTCAGAGCACCACTGGAGACCTTCGGTGGTCCACAGAAGACCCTAAGAGGTCTACAACAAACTTTCATTGATCCACACAAGACCTTCAGAGGTCCACTGGAGCCCTTCAGGGGTCCACAGAAGACCTTAAGAGGTCTACATCAAACTTTCACCAGCCTACAGGAAACCATCAGTGGACCACAGGAGACCTTCAGCGGTCCACATAAGACCTTCAGAAGTTTACAGGAGACATTCAGAGGTCGACAAGAGACCTTCAAAGGTCCACAGGAAACCTTTAGGGGTCGAAAGAAGATCTTAAAAGGTCTACATAACAAACCTTCACTGTTCCACAGGAAACCTTCAGTGGTCTGCAGGAGAACTTGAGAGGTCCAGAAAATATCTTCAGGGGTCAACTGGAGTCGATGATGAGTCGGGTCAAGACAGATTAGAAGAAGACGGTTCTATTCAATACTAGATGGTCATAATGTTATGGCTGATCAGTATCAGTGTGATCAATAAACGGAACATTTGTTCCGAACCAAATGACAGTTTGTGATTTAACGGGTCATCCTGTTAGTCTGGGCGTCTTTAAAACCGTCTGATACCTGCAGAGTTTGTCAGGCGAGCGCTCCGCCTGATTTTATTCTGAAACTTTTCAGAAACAGCTGAAAGGTAACAACGAGACCTTCAGTTCCATAAAACCAGTTCTTCATTTAAAGAAAACATTGCTCACCCCGGTCTGTGTGGGTCTGGACCCGCTGGAGCTGACCGGTGTGATCATTAAGCTGCTGGTCATTTTGTTCTGAGTGGCCTTCACCATCGAGGATTGGCGCCGGGAGCAAGTTCCTGAAGGTGTTTCTGAGCCAAGTCCTGGTCTGAGTGTCACCACGGGATCTCCACAGACCTCATAGGGTCTCTTGTACTGAGGACCCAGGTGGATGTGGATCTTGTTGTCTTCCGTTGTGATGATGTTGCTACTGTACTTTCTGTCTGGTTCTGGTTGCTTGTCGGAGGTCATCCTGAAGGTGTGTCTGGTGGTGGTTTCATGAGGGTTGGACGCATCACACGCCTCGGATACAGGGGTGGTGCTGACTGTGATGATGGACACTGGGGACTGGAGGCCACCAGAACTGTTTCTCGTGTCCTCTGGACATTTTGTCCTGGAGGCGGCGGTTATTGTGATGGGAAATTTGGATGGATCTAAGCTTCCTGTTGCACCACATCCTCTGGTCTTTGAGGTCACAGTTGTGTGTTTGGGGACAATTGTGATCTGTGGTTTTTGAAGACCGAGAGTTGGGATGATGGTAGTACTTGAAAAGAAGTCCTCAGCTCGTGGGCTGGTGATCTCCAGGGTGGCGGTGCTGGTCCCGTGATCTGGGGTCACGCGGATGTGTAGAGGTGGACCAGGTCTTTGCGTCATTCCAGGCGGGTGGAAAGAGGTGGAAGCTCTGTTCTTCTCAGGAATGGTCTGAGTCAGCATGATGGCCTCCTTCTTGGTCATCCAGGGGATTGACGGTTTTTTCATTCCAAGTTCTGCTAAAGCTGGAGGGTATCGGTTCAGAACCATCGGCCTCCTCAGACCCTGCTGCCTGAGGTTGCTCATTAAATGGTTCTCCTCCTGAACCGATTTCTGGATGAATCCTGCAGTCGTGTCATCTTCAGCCGACTCGGTGATGGCGTCAGTCTGGACCGCTGTGGAGATAACTGGAACGTCCACCATCCTCCTGCCATTCGTGCCTGGCCTTAGAGCTCGACTGTAGCGCCTCACAGCTTCCAGTTGTTTGGTCAGGTTCTCCATCTCCTGACTGATGCTCTTCTTCTCCTCCTCCTCCTCCTCAAACCTCTGCTGAAGGACAGAAAAGTCCACCTGCAGCTGGGAGAGCTGGTCTTCCTTGTTCATGAGTTCATGGATCTTCTCCTTCAGGGCCTGGATGTCGTTCTGAAGCTCCCTGGTTTTGGCTTCCTCCATCCTGCAGCGAACTCTCAGCTCGGCCTTCGGACTTGTTGCTTCACCTTTCTCCGTGGCTTTGTTCCTGGCTATCTGACTCTTCATCTCCTCCAACATCGTGGAAAGGGTGTTGGCTTTGTCCTGCTCTGTCCTGAACTTCTTCTCCAGCAGATCATATTCGTCCTCAGTTTTCATCAGATCTCCCTCCACCACCTCCAGCTGCTTCAGCCGGCCTCTGAGACGCTCAATCTCCAACGTGAGCTCCTTCACTTGGTTGTTGTCGTGTTCTGGGTTTCTGTGGAGGTCTTTGTTGGACCATGTCATTTCCTCAAGTCCCTCCATCCTCATCTTCAGCACCTTCAGCTCGGCGTTCAGGTCCTTGGACTTTTCTTCTTCACTTGCAAGTTTCTTCTGTACCTCCTTGTTCTCTTCTGTGAGAGCTGACATGTGGACTTCCATCTGAGATTTTAATCTGAGAAGCTTCTTGCTCTCCTCGATGAGCTTCTCAGTCACCTCGGTAACTTTCCCCTGCTCTGTCTTCAACACGTTCCTTAAGTCCTCACCTTTCTGCTCCTCCTGCTTCAACCTCTCTGTTAACTTCTTCCTTTCATCCACCAGAATGACCGTGAAGGATTTCAGTTTCACAACATCCTCTTTGAGGATCATCTCTGCTTTCTCAAGCTTCAACTCTGATGTCTCCAGATCCTTCTGCTGGGCTTTGAACTGGTCCACCTCTGAGGCCAGCTCCTTCACCGCCCTACTCTCCTTCTCCAGGTTTGTGTGAAGCTGTGAGCTCTCCGTCTGGCTCCTGCTGAACGCTCTCTCCAGTTTCTCCAAGTCCACCATTCTCTTCTGGAGTTTGTCCACATCCAGCCTCAGCTCCCTGCTGTGGTTCTCCTCGACTTGCAACTTCTTCTTCAGCTCTCTGCACCGGCTCTCTGTTTTGGTGATCTCTTCATCTTTTCCCTCCATCTCCAGCACTTTCTTCCTCAGGTTCTCCAGCTCAGCCATGAGGGAGGAGTTCCCACACTCTCCTTTGCTGATCTTCTCCCTCAGCTGCTGCAGGTCCTCATCTGATTTCTGCAGGACTTGGTTGCTTTCCTCCAGCTCCTTGATCTTCTGGGACAGACCGGTGAGCTTCAGCTTCAGCTGGCGGTTCTGGGACTCCTGGTCAACCAGCTTGGCAGTCAGGTCCTCATGCTCTTCACTGAACTTTGCCTGTTGGAGCTCCAGTTCGGCCTCCAGCTTCAGGACCTTCTGCTCATCCTCCTCAGCAGCGTGGCTCACAGCTGCCAGCCTCTGCTCCTTGTCTTGCAGCTTCTGACTAAGCTCCTGGATTTTCTGACTCTGCTGGTCGATCTGCTCGACGTGAAGCTGTCGCTCGTCCACCAACATCAGTGTGAAGGACTTTAGCTTGACCAGCTCATCTCGGACCCTCTCCAGCCTCCTGCTGTGTTCCTTGTCCTTACGAGTCTGGTAGGCCTTCTCCTGCTCCAGCAGCCTCTTTAGTCTGAGGAACCAGAAACAATGGAAGACTATCAGACATTGAAAATGGTACTAGGACCGCTTTCTTCCACCTGAACCATGTGACTAAAACGAGAAACATCTTGTCTCTAAATGATGCTTCAGACATTCACCATGTCTAGACTGAACAGTGGTTCTTTATCATATGGGTGTGCAGAACCTCTTTAATGTCTTCAGTTGATCCAAAGTTCTGCTGCCAGGGTTCTGATGAGGGTCAGAAGGAGATCATGTTCTCTGTAAATCAGTACTAGAACCCTTTAACTCGGTTCCTCAGGTCACTCTGGGACTGGGCCAACCGGTCTGGGAGGTCCACTGGCCTCTTTTTCAGACATGTCTGGACCTTCTCAGGTTCGTCACCTGGACCAGCGGACTCCTTGTTCAGTCAGCAGGAGATGAAGATATGAGTCATGGTGGAGACTGTTTCACTGATCATTTATCTTATCCCCACAACAACAAATCAATATTTAGGCCCAATGACGTGTTTTCTGTAATCCTAAAAAATATTTTTATGTTTAAATAATTCTCATCAGTCCTGCCCCATCTCCTACCATCTACTGACCATTGACCTCCAGCTTTAACCTTTAATCTCTAATGATACCCCAGGACTCTGACCTTTGACCTCCAGCTTTGACCTTTAATCTCTAATGATACCCCAGGACTTTGACCTTTGACCTCCAGCTTTGACCTTTAATCTCTAATGATACCCCAGGACTCTGACCTTTGACCTCCAGCTTTGACCTTTAATCTCTAATGATACGACCTTTGACCTCCAGCTTTGACCTTTACCCTCAGCTTTTACCTTTAACCTCCATCTTTGTCTTTGAATATAGTCTATTTATTTGTTTCTTCTTCTTCTTTTGGCTGCTCCCTGTCTCAGGAGTCGCACAAAGACTTGGTGATTGTTCTTACGCCGGAGGTCCTTCCTGACCAACCACAGACCATCGAGCTACCACAGCCCTCTGAGTGGAGCAGAGAGCTGCCATGTAGGATGCCCGGGGGAGCAGATGGTGGGGGTTAAGAGCCTTGCTCAAGGGCTCAGAGTGGGGCAAGTAAGGGTGGAGGCAGGTGTGGGTGTTTCACCTTTCCCACCCACGTTTTGATGTTTTCGGTCTGGGGAGTTGAACCAGTGATCTTTCCATCACAGGTATACCTTCTCTAACCTCTGCGCCACCACACCCCTTAAAGTGTCAACTTGTGTTTTCTAACCCGAAGCATCTTGTCCATCTTTAATTACATTATTTTAAAGTCATGAACATTACGTGCAGCGTTTGGATTTGAGCCCGCAGCTCATACGTGGCAAAGACGTGTTAACCACTGAGCCACCCAGACAGAGCTATCAGTCTTTATGTTAGGACCTAGGACCAAACAAAATGTAATTCTGAATCCAGCGGAAACCCAAAGGGTCAAAGGTCAGAAAGAGTCCTGTCCTGTAGAAAAGAAGTGGTCTGGATCATCAGGGACCTGCTGTTCTTTTAAAGGCCCAGTCAGGACTCATTGTGGACCCCCACACCCACCTCTCCCTCTCCTGCTCCAGCAGGTTGGTGAAGTCGTCGCTCTTGTTCATGAAGTCAGCGTGTTTTTGTTTCTCGTTGCTGAGCTCCATGACGGTCCGACGGTGGCATTTCTCTGCCAGGAGCAGCTGCTCCAGCATCCGTCTGTACGTCTCCTTCTGCTTGTCCTCCAGACGGTCCAGCTGAGGAGACAAAGACATGAGACATCTGCTCAGCCACCATCAGCCGAGCTTCATGATGGAAAACGTTTTCCTCTGCAGCTCGGACACAGGAAGACAGGAAAAAAGACAAACTGACCTTTAAACACTTAAACTTCATTCTGTTGTCATGGTAACCAGGACGCATCAACATTTAATTTCCCTTTGGCATTAATGAAGTAGTTTTGAACAGAATTGAACAGAATTGAAAAACAACAACGAACAACAACGAGACTATAAAGAGTTAAAACAAACCACAAACACTGTGAGACCCATTTGGGTCCGGCAGCTGAGCCAATGGACGCTGCAGAACCATCTGGGTGGGTTCAGGCCTCACTGACCTCAGCGATGGGCACCTCGTACACGTCGTCTGTGCTGCATCGGCCGTGCAGCAGCACGCCGTCTCTCTGCAGGGCCTGCAGGGCTTTGCTGGGGACAGCAAAGCCATAACGGGCCTCCAGAACTTCAGGTCCGGTTCTGTCTGACTCCAGCATCCTGATAATGTCCTCTCTGGCCTGGGGAGACGCAGCAGAAACATCAGAATGAGGATCCGACCTCAGGTTCAAACGTCACATTCTAGTTTGTGTTTCGTTACGTCAGAGGGGCGGAAGGAGCTTCACCCGTTGTCATGGTAACAGGACACATCGACAACACCTTCACCTGTCGCCATTTTTATTTTCTCTCTCTCTGTCCTCTGGTGAAGACAGATGTGTTTTCCTGGTGCTCCGTACGCCCCCTCCCCCCCACGCGCTTCCCTGCTGCGCTCTTTTGTCCTGTGAACCCTTAAAAAAAAACTATTTTTTGATTTTTTTCCTGCATACCTCTTAATTGGAAGGATCAGCTGGTCTCTCAACAAAATCGATCAACTTCTATTCTTAAGGAGTCAGGGTAAGGAGGACCCTCTGACCTCGACGGAAACAAATTGGATTCATGGTGACAACTTGTTATTTTGCTGTTTGGTTGGTGAAATCTTAGATTGTCTATAAATTCATGTGGATGTGTTGAAGCTCGGCAGCACTCAGACTGAATTATGTGCAGCTGCAGCAGGGAGCTGGAGCAGCTGTTATCAGGCCTGTGTTCTTCCTGGCAGCACTCATGAATGGTGGAATAATCTGGAGAAGCTGTGAGCTCGACTTTGGAGTAAAGGATCAATTCGGCTGTTTTGGAGTTTCCATCAGAGAATATGTACCAGCGAGACTTTAAAGGCAGAAACAACAATTCACGAGTTCTGCCTGACCCAAACTGTGGCCTTGATGCCGGACTTATCTCAACTCCTCCTGGAATGTTTAAGGAAAACAACAAAGATGCTTTGACTGTTTCCTCACCCCTCCTTTCCCCAAGGCCGTGGACATGTGACAGAACCTGAACTGAGCTGAAGATGAACGTCACCTCTTATCTGGACAATGGCTGAGGGGGGGGGGGGGCTCTGGACTATGCTACGACTTTCCCTTAAAGATTCTCTGTCTTCACGGCCCATATGTTCATGTATAACATCTGTTTATGTTGCTTTGCTGTGGGAGGTTTGTTTGATGCCTCAAATCGTGCCCCGTCCAGGACACGGAGTGAGAGATCTTTTTTTATACCGTCTCTCCTCATGTTTTCTTTCCTTTTCTCATCTAAGCAAAATATTATTCTGAATAAGAATAAGAGGCCGCGCTGATTATTTTAGCCACAGCTTCGTGCACTCCGCCCATCTTCAGACGACTGTACGTACATGTTCACGTTGTATCTCGGTGCAATGCCAATAAAGTTTATTCTGATTCTGATGGTAACCAGGACACATGAACAACACCTTCACTGGTCGTCATGGTAACCAGGACACAAGACTTCAAAAGCATCAGCACGTATGAATGAAAGAAAATCAACAAAGATGAGGAGACAGAACAAAGTTCGCACTGTCTGTAAACTCTGACTGCTGCTCAATGACTGGAAGGTTTTTAATAAAATACATTTCAGTTCCTTTAATTTACAAAATATTATTTTTTCTTTTTTTTAAAACCTGAACTGAGGCTATGGATGGATGATTAAAACCATCTTTAAAAGACGCCTCAGCAGAACATCCAATATTTAAGAGTTTACATTTATTTTATCATATGAAATGATTTCAGTCCAGGAGCTGTAGGTTCAGCAGCCTCGTGTTCTGCAGAACATTTCTGATGGTTCCCACAAAGTTCTGCTTCATAAAAATGCACAGAAAGGGAAAGAAGATGAAGGTCTACATCTCATTTTATAGTTTTGTGATAAATTCTTTTGGACCTTAGCTACACAACCTGTCCTCAGAGTAAGACCTGCTTCTAGTTCTGACAGAACCCCAGAAATATTTTGGTACCTGGACCTCTCCTTCCATGACTCCCAGCAACTGAAGCAGGTTCTTCTTGGACATGTCGGTAGGCTTTGGGTTCTGAGTTCTCTTTGCTGCTGTAGGTCCAGCCGTCCTGTCCTTCTCCTCTCTTTGACTCTTCCTCCTCCTCTTTGTCACCTCCGGGGCCTCCTCCTCCTGCTGCTGCACCTGCTCCCTGAAGGTTTTGGGTGGCTGAACGTGTCCATCAACTGGATCTTCTTTGGATCGTGTTTTCATCTGTCTGAGGGATCAGAGCAAAGTTAGAGACAGCTTCTGGTAGATTCTGAGCTGCAGGTTTGGTTCTGGAAACTCTGCAGGGTTCTGGACGTCTGAACAAAGACCAGCTGAACTTTGTTCTGACATCACCTGACAGACGTGAAGGTCCATCATGACAACACCTGACAGATGTGAAGGTCCATCATGGAAACACCTGACAGACGTGAAGGTCCATCATGGAAACACCTGACAGATGTGAAGGTCCATCATAACAACACCTGACAGATGTGAAGGTCCATCATAACAACACCTGACAGATGTGA